ATTGGTCTCAAAGTACCTTTCTTAGTTTAATCTTAACTCCAAATGTCACGTTCCATATATAGCTCTTGAATACCTAATTAAAGTTGAAACCTCACAAGTGAGACAAGACGTGAACGATAATCACCGATAAAAGGGTGTGAAATTGATGCGCGATAGTACCACCTGATTGCATCTAAATTAAACCGCGCGGCACGCAAAAGGAGGACCACCTACCAAGAATAACGTTAGGAGGAACGAGGGGACCGGTGGCAAAAAGCAGCGCGCAAAAGGCACGCGCCCGAGACGCAGGATCAAAGTTGAAATTCCTCGGGAGGGCGGCGAGGGCGGAGGAAGCGAGAGAGAGAGAGAGAGCGCGCGGTCGGGGGAAGTCAAAGCGGATAAAGAGAACGACGACCGAGTCGAAAGCCGAGGCGAAAGTTCCGACCGAAAGAAACGAGTGTGCGGAAAGAAGCCGAGGGGCACAAAGAGAGCGGGAAGAACGCTGGTTTTGTTAATCAAAAGATTTCGAGACGACGCGTCCGGCTTAATAACGAGCGAGGGGCGGGCGTGAAAGGACGCATCGTAGGACCTCCGGTTGTGAATTGTATCGCTGGCGCCTGTACCTTTTGTAGGGAGTCCCGGCTGAATAGTACGATAAGAAAGAATGAGAGTCCACTCTTGAGAAGGAGTAATGAATAACATTAGACTGCCGTTGAATACTAATATGTTTGCGGTAGATTGTGAATTTTAAGGAAACGGAAGAAAAATTGAACGTCTTCCGTGAAAATTAGACATTTACAACGTGTGAAAAGATATTTAAAAAATACAGGACTTGTGTATATATAATTATAATTGCTATTTTTTGTGGAAATAGTGACAAAAGTGAACGGATTTATCTTCGTGGGATTCTTTCTCGATCATCGATTTAGTGACTATAATTAATAAAATTATTTTAATTAATTAATAAATATTAATTATTAATACATTAAGTGTGACAACAGACAGATTAAGTGCAACATCACATACAAACACTTTCAACGATCGCGTCAGAATTGAGAATCGCGAGGACATCGAGAATGTCTCGATCCTCCAGGTCCTTCGAGTGGTCGCGATCGATCGAGGTAGCGACAGGATCGTTTTGGGGTCAGGATCCGTCACCACGGGAAGACTATCGTTGAAGGGAAATCTCGCGCGCTTCGCGTTTATTTGGGAAACTCGACCGTCCGTGATCGAATGCTGCTCGCCGTGAGAGAAGAGCGGATTAATTGTCTTGAGTGCGGCCTCCGCGACACTTGAGCTCCGATTCTCGATACAAAACCGATATCGAGATGCGTTGCGCGTCGAAATACGTATTTCTCACGAGTCTGCTGGTGGTGCTCAGGACTCGTCGAATGGACGCAGTTGCGGAGGAGCCGTCGCCGGAATTAGGCCAGAACAAAGGTACGCATCCAAATTCTCAGCAATTTGTTCGCCCTAAATTGTTATTCAAATTTTTTACCGTAACACCTTTTAAAAAATGTTCACAGTTTTAAATTCGTTGTTTGATTGCGCTTTCGAATATATATTGGCCCATTAAAAGATATTAGTACATTAACTGTTTCATTTATCGTTAAGTGAAACAATTAATAACTGTTCTACAAATTTGCATAAAATAACACACAGCATATGAATAAAAATACAATATGTTTGCACATCGGTAAACAAAATAATTTAGAATCAAAAGAAAATTAGTAACGCAATGAAATATTTTACATTTGTATCTATTTTGAATTGCCAACTTTGTGCAAGATGAAGATAGATATGCACCTGAGTTCTCGTTACCCGAAACTGTCAGAAGATTGACATCTAATTAGCAGGTCAAATCCCTCAACAAGGCTATTAACAGCGGCAATCGCTTGAAGTTCACCGTGCTCTCTCAGTTTATGCTCGACTATGTTTACACACTGACCCATTAACTTTGCATCAACATCGTACGAAAGTGGAATAAGAGTTTTGTAAATTTTTTAATATGTACTAACATTATATCTAACTGCACTTTCGACATCCAATATTCTTCGCTATTATTTTGCTTGTATATCAATTTTTTACAACACCACAAATAAACGTGTTCTGTATAATTATTAACACTTTCACGATCGTTATATATTCAGCTCTGCTCAACGCTCGGAGTAGCTCTATTATATTAAATTAATGTAAAATCCGATATTTCATATTACATGATCCAATACAATGATGCAAAAATAGTAAATGTAAAATTACGTGATCGGCTACTGACTTATTCCGAAGTATAAACGTAAAAATACGGAACTGGCTTCTGACTTATACCAAAATATAAAAATATGTGAGCGGTCGCGAAAGGGTTAATTATAATATATTTAGTTGCATAATTCTAATAGTGAAACATTAATAAATTAGCAAAATAAAATATAAATATAGATGAACTCAATGAAAAGAGTAATGATAAAAGAGAATGATAAAAATATATAAGATAAATGTTAAGTATTATAATATTCAGTAGATTTAAATGTGATTTAGTCGTGTAAAAAAAGCTGCAGATTTTAGACCGTTCTTACATAATTAACAAGGTATCTCGACACTTCTCGTGCATCGACACTAACCGGAAGGATTTAAATAAACCCACAGGCCCGCATGCGACCTACTGACGTTTTAGCGTTCGTAAAATTCAATCAAGGCACCGTTCGCCTCAATCTCTAGCGCATCATGAGCAATCTCGCATGATGCGTCGTTTCCTGTTTATATTAATGCAACACGCAGCAATATCAATTCGCACGGAGAAGGGAGTAGATAAAACAATGCACTCCGCTATCGGGCGTGAAACACAGTGCACCCGCGTGAATAGTTTAATTAATCGTGCTGCGGAAGAATTTGGTATGCGCGATAATAGACACGCCACGACGGTAGACAGAACAAAAATTGAAACAGCTGCTAAAATAGACGTCGCCAGTTTAATTTGGCGAGACTGCCGACGTTCGCCAGAATAATTACATTATTAATCTTTGAGATGCTGACTCTCGGAAAATCGCAGAGTCAGCAGCGAAAAAAATATCGCGCAGAACGCGGAACAGCAGCTCTCACTTGTAAAATGCAACAAACGGGATTAAATTTGCTTTTGCGGGATTAAAGTTGCGAAACGGTCAGGAATCATTTTTGGTCATTGTTAGGCAACTCTCTTGTTATTATTAATTAGATTTAATAATTTAATGGCACGGACAATGACGAGATACAAAAACATTATTATTTTAAATTATGTTTTAAAATATATTTTGATCGTTAATATCTTAAAACATGTTTCAATCATTAATATTTTTAAATATATTTTGATCATTAATATTTCAAAATATTATTCAGATTACTTAAAAACAATGTCGAGAGGAATTTTAAATTCATTAATCATTGCAATACGACATTATCTATTCGCATGGAAAAGGAAATAAAGATAAAATGCTACACTCGTTATCGCATAAGCAATATCGCGCGTACGCGTTTAATTGCAGAAAAATTTGATGGGTTCCATAATAATTGCAGTTTTATATAACGGCAGACCCAACAAATATAAAAATATTGCAATTATTCTGACAAAATAATAATCCCGATTAATAGTGGAACTTTTCTAACATTAATGCTGAAACTTTCCTAGCTTTAACTCTATCAAGATATATTAATTCCAAAGGAAAAGTACCGAACCGCAACATATTAGGTTTTTTATTAAGATAATGAATGGCGCATAATCTAAGCGCGACCGCATTGTAATAGTTAAGATAATGCAATCGCGCGCGATGTCCGCGAAATGAAATAACGGTCGCGATCTTTCCACGTGTGAAACAGTCGATCGAAAATAGGAAGCGTAAATCGACGAGTAAGATATTTTCGTCAGCGGTCCCTCTCGCGCATATACCGCGCGAGTTCGGGAACTCGGATGGCTCCGAGTTCGCGGCGAAAGAATTCGCGCGACTTATTTTCAGCGGATGGAAAGGAGCCTCCTTCTAGCTATTTGGCTTCGTCACTGTGAATTCATACAATACATAACTAGAATAATCGTCATTTATCACGAATTAACGTTGCTCAGCTTGTTTGCCAACAAATACAACGTGCTCAGAAGCGTGAAGATATTTCGCATTGCGATTGCAACGAGAAATATGAAATACATTTTGTCAGAAATAAAAACTTAGCTAAATATATACACACAATATATAGACACAAGGATATTTCATATTTGTAAGCTCGATCATAGAGAGATTTGATAGCTTTATCGCCGTTTAATAACATCGATCGCGCTACATGAAAGATGATAACATCTCCATTTATCATCATATTCATGTAAGTATCGCAAAAGACTTAAAATGTTTGTCTAACAGTAAAAGTCATAGTCAGGCAGAACAGCCTGTTGCAAAAGCAACACTTTCTACGAAATGAAAACACATAAACCATTGCAGCGTGCTTCATGCGTTTGAAAGATCGCCCTTGCAACGTTGTATCGTACATCTCAAGGACTTCCTCAATGTATCGCACGCAAATTTTCTGATGCACAATTCAATTTGCTTTTCATCTATAAAAGGTACATAATACGAGAAATTTTTATATAAAAAAAATTGCCCGTACTAAAAAAATTTCCGTCAGAAAAATTTTCTGAAGCATAAAAATAATTTGTAAAATAGCAAACTATTCGTCTTGATTGAATTAAAAATCAATTAATAAAATATCAATATTAATATATAAATTAATATATTATTATATAGATTAATAAAATTAATATGTAGTTGTATATAGAATTAATATACAGATAAATTTGTAATTGTATAAAAAGACGGGTTGGCGAAATAGCGACTTGATTTTGTAAAATATTAAATATAAATTAGCAGATCATCAATTTGTTGATGTATTCTTTCAGTTATTTTATTCAAATGTATTATTACAACAATCAGATAATGATAAAGTCGAAGAAGATAATGGAATTCCTCATTAAATGGAAACAAGCCTTTGTTCATTTATGGCCAAGCGCTATTCACAATAATCATGCATTATGTTCAATGTTTAATTGAAAGCGTAATTAGTGTAATCAGCGTGAACTGTATTTCACAAATATTTCGTATAAATTACCGGCGTTATTATTATTTAATTTATAGTGGCTTAGTTCTTGTTTATTGATCCGAATAATCATTGTTTCGTCAAACAAGAGCTATAATTAATTGCTGTGCGTTTTGACATTTGTCTAACCGCTTACTGATTCCAAGCTCGTGTATGTTGTGCGTGACACATGTCGTCAGCGTTACAGACGTGTACACGACTGATTATACGGACGAAAATTATATATTATAGAAGACCGAACAATATATAGATGCATTAAATATGTGCATTTCATTATTTAAATAATTAATAGTTGGAATCTGTTAGTTGTTAATATGCAATTAGCAAAATAATTAGTAATTCATGGCGGCGAATCAACAGTGACCGAAAGAGATTATTATACAAGCGCGGACCAAGAGAATACAAATTGATATAATTGATATTATTTGTGAAATTAACTATACGAAATGTTATATACAAGATGATATAATCGTGAATAATATGATATGAATTGCAACCTGTTATTTCTTATTGCTCGAGCGTTGGTCGCAAAACACGTTGATCGCGTCGCCAACATTTAAATTCGAAACAATCAAGGATCGCAGGAGGAAACAACGAAGTAAAACGTAGAGAAAGGGTTCGCCTTTGAAAACGGAAGAGGTTTGACTAACGTAACGAGGGAATCACGGGTGGTGTGGGTCAGAGCACTGGTAAAATTATCATACAAAGTGGTCAAAGGTATTCCAGCGTATACCCTCCCTTTTCATCTCCCCGATGACCCTACGGGGACGGGGATAGCTCGCAGGGAGGTCGAAAGGAACAGAAGGTGGTCGGCCGAGAATCGACATAATTGTCGGGTTGCGTGTAGCTCGATTATTTCGAAACAGATCTGGATAATTTAACTAAATGACCATATGGTCCTTGTAAATAATTACCGGGCATCGAGACGTAATAGGTAATATATTACCTATTTCTCCAACAGAGAAATTTCTTGGATAGTTTCGGTCTTTATGTGAGACCGACATTCAATAAATCAAACCTTTAAGTCGGTTGTTATTACAACTATTATTATCATCAATCACTTTTTATGTTTGCGTTTCGATTGAAATTTTTTGTTTATCTTTGTACACATCTAATTTTGTGCCTATAATTTATCATATATTCCAATTTCGGATATAATTCAAAGATGTAAGATATTTTTCTTTAAATGTTTATGAAATTGTCAGGAGTGTTCTTTACCGCTCGTTCATTCATGTATCTGAAATGAATGATTTCCATTCGGTGCTTTTCTCACGCAGCAAATTTCATCTGCGTGCAATAAATATGACCGCGAATTCGATCGGCGACCGATGGACGCGCGACCGAGTGAAAGGAAGGATAGGGAAAGAGGCCAGAGGCTGCGACGCGCACGGAAATAGACGCGAGTCGCCGGAAGCACGATTTCCCAACGAATACACACGATACAAAAATAGCAGGGTTGTCTCTTTCAGTCGGCTATTATTTACATAACTACGCGATACGCACACGCGAGCCTTTTTTCGACGCTTCTGATCGACGCGTCTCTCCCGGAAAAAAAGCTTATCTTTTGCATAAAAAAACAAGAAAAAAATGTGTATAACGATCCACTTACGGGTCCGCGAACTGCATTCAGTTTTTTGTTCCGTGAAAGACAGGTGGATGCAGTAGACATAAAGAAAACAAGTCTATTCTTTTTAACCGCACGCTCTTACATTTTTTTATGAGCCTGAAATGAAAGAAATATATACACACGTCAGGGAGAGATGAATAGAGAAGAGCATAAGCGTTTTTACTTCAGAAGATTCGAAGTGAACATGAAATATGATAGATCGTATCTAGACGAGCTCCGTTTTGTTTTAATATATGAATATTTCATGCACAAATTTTTTAAGTTAATTTAATATACATAAAATTATGCAACATCAAGAACTTCAAAATCCTGCGTTAGGAGTCTCAACGGATGCAAACACGCCACTGGATATGAGTAAATGCCCAATCGCCGATGTAAACCTCGACAGGGCGTTTAGTTTCAACCCCCTCATCATGTTCTTAAAGGCTCGTTGAGGGTGATGAAACATATAGCGGCGTACTAATGAAGCGGTTCTTCGCGGACAGCACCACCGCCGCCGTTGTGCTCGCGTGGCCGTGATGAAAACGCATCCACTTTATTAAACTTGCCCGACCTTGCACAAATAAAACAGTATAAAAATTTCCCAAATTAAATTATTTTTGTGCCTTTCATTACTTTTCTTTGCTTTCAAATGTAGTCTAAAAACAAAAATCTCTTCCGTCATATTTTCGAAGCATTGTCATTTTAGAATGCGTCGCGACATATCCGTTGACTTGTATCGGGGAAAAAAAAAAACAACCGAGAAAATATTCAGACGTGTCAGTGTGTGCCTTCACAATGAGTGAGTTATCAATGGCATACCACGATGTGCATTAACAGCGGAGTGTCGCGCGCACGTGCGGCGCCGCACGTCGGCCGTCCAGTCCGCACTTGTGTTATATCGTTTCTATTTTCTGCACTAGGTACTTCATAACGCGATGTGACGAATCTAAGTTTAAATCGCGTGGTTGAGGACCACATAAAATGGACAATGGTGCATCGAACTGATGTTTGTCGTCGCGATTACCATTGTAGCGCGACGAGCTGGCAGAATCGCTCGAGAAACGACTACTGTAATTTCGTCAAGTTATAAGAGACCCGAAGACCACAGGCAGAGCTGCGTTTAGCTTGTTTTCGGCTAATTTGATGCTAATTTGTAACTTCGAAAGTAAGAAAATTTTAACAATTGACAACTGGAATATTTTTGTTTATAACAAATAATATATATTTGTTAACAATGCTTAACAAATCGTTGAATATTACACGTTTGATAGTGTTCGTAAAATGGCAGGCTTTATTAAATTATAAGTTCAGATATCAAAACGATGGAAACGCTGTTTTCCTGTGATCTTCACAGGTTGTTGCTAATGTTTATGCGATAAACTCGCTGATTTATGTACTTTTCTGTCAACTGCTTGTGGGCGGAATCCCAGGAACATATGATTCATGTATCACGAAAATGATTTATATCTTGACTTTTAACTAGGTTGATGTGTCGCGGTTATTGATTATAATTTTAAAAGAGGTATGAAATATTTTCATATCACATGTGACGTTACCTTTTAACTAAATTTCATTTTATTAACTGCTGGTGCAAGGCTATAAAAATCGCGATAAAGTTTAAATAAATAAGATAAATAAAGTTGAGTATAAATATTAAAAATGCGCAATTTTTCCTTTTACAGCACCGATAAAATTAGTCTGGGCGACCGAAGGTGAAAATGTAGAATTGCCATGCGATATAACAACGCCGGTGGCGGATGACTCGGTCAACATGGTTCTCTGGTTTAAGGACAATGATGGTATACCACTCTACAGGCAAGTTTTGTACTATAAAAATAATTCAACTGATCTGACTATTTTTATATAGTGCTGGCGCCACAGAGATAGAAGTTGCTGCCAATAATTTCGCGCTAGTCACTGGTTAAAAATTTGAACAAGAAATAGAAATACCAGAAACATTAAACACCGAAAGCTATGGAGCTAAAATAAAATAAATACTTCATGTTTCTCTGACTTCTTTTTTACAAGAACAAACATAAAGAATATAGAAAAAGAAAAAAGCACTATAGTGAATATTGCAAAAGACTAAATCTCTATTTATCTTCCATATGTACATCCGCAGCAAATTTATGTGCAGATTAGGATGCATTTTTTTTCGAGCGCAGCAGAGACGAATTTTTTTCTCATCAAAGCGCGGGATCGTCGAGTTAAAAAAGTTCTTCCTGCTGTTCCACTTCCTGTTTTCTGGGAACTGATTCACACAGCGGCGATTTTCTGCCGAGAGTCGGACTGCCGGATGTTAGCTAGGTCCGTGTTATTGGGGGTTGGGATGCCATTGTTCTGAAACCGCATCTCGAAATATCCCCGGCACGAGCCCGGCTCGAGCGTGAACTCTGATTATGGATACCTCCGACGCGCTCTCTGCTCGCGACATATAAATATCACGAGCTCATTAACGATTAATGTAACTTAGTGCGACCTAGATTTCTATTTTAAGCATATTTTTAACAATTATACAATAATTTAATATTTAAAAGCATGAATTTTAACTACATTTCGAGTTTAAATGTATTTAAAATAATGAAAATAAGATAAAGTTCTCATGCTTTGCAAATTTTAATATGAAAATTTTGCATAGTTGTTATATATTTATATAATATTAATCTTCAACGGAGACCAGTAGAATAAATAATATATAAATGCGATTTAATTTTTATTTATACAAATTTTTTTATTTTAGAAACGATATAACTTGTTATATCGAATTTACCCGAACGCTGATCGTGTGAACGATTATAGAAACGGTGCATCGTTGCATGTACGCTAGGAAATTCAAGTTACGTTAGATCAGGATTGTATAAACAATTCGATCGAATATCCACGATATTCGGTCATCGAAAGCGCGGAATGATGGAATTTCATAACACCGACTGAGCTTCAGAAATAGCAGTCAATTGAAGACTCTTTTCGACTGACACACGGGGGTATTAAACAGAGCGCGTGAAGTCGCTTATTTACAAAAACGATCTCCGGGATCGTAAAGCAAGATGTTTCATCATCAACCATTCGTTCGTCGAAAAATAAATAGCTCTGTGTGAAGCTTGAAAGAATTTTTATTACGAAGATCTG